CAACCAGAGGGGTCCCTGCTATTTCTGTGCCCAGCTTTTCAAAAACAAGATTACTCGCCCATCAGAGCCACTGTCAGGGTCGGTAAACTCCAGCCGCCACACTGCGTCCACGAATCTCACCAGAACCTCTGCAGTTATTAATAGTTTATTGATCGCAGCCATTGCTGATGAGAGGCAGTCTCCAGGGCCCGCCCCCTCGGGGCCCCACTGCGGAAGGCCTTCCGTCCAGCACTCAGGGCAGTGCCCCTCAAGTCTGGAAAGGGGCCTTGGCTGCTGCCTCCACTTGAGAAGCTCAGCTGTGGCGCTGGGAGGAGGATCGGTCCAGATCAAGTCTGTGATCTGGAAGCTGCAGGTGGGAATGAGAACCTGCCTTGGGTGGGCAGGGGCTGCGCCTGGTTTCCAGCACAGAGGGAGGCAAGGTTCCCTATGCTCACACCACAGCGTCCTGGCAGGTCTCACCCTCCACTCATTTGACAAATAGTGATTGAGTCCCCAGCTCGATGGCAGGCACCGCCCAAGGCCCCGGGGGCACTGGTAAACCAGACAGCTGCAGACCCCGCCTTCCTAGAGCTCACAGTGTATGGGGGGAGAGGACATTCCAGAGTCACAAACGCAAGCCCTTAAATTACAATTTAGGCAGGTACCACTCAGGACAGCTGTGAGCAGACCTGCTGCGTCATTAGCTGTTGCTGCAGAAGGAGCTGTCTCAAACCTGGTGGCTTAAAGTGACAATCACGCACTATTGCTCACGAGTCCAGGGGTGGCTGGGCTCGCTCCTGAGTGTGGCCTCGGCTGGAACAGCTGGGCCCACCGGGGCCTCTCTCTACGTGCTCTCGTCCTTCTCAGAGGCTCGTTCTCAGGGCAGAGGCAGCAGAGGGAGAGAGTTCTTTAGAAACTTTGGAATTTGCACACCGTCACTTCCACCGCATATTACTGGTCAAAGCAGGTCACAGGCCAAGAGTGAGGAGCCTGACTCCACCCCTGGATGGGAGGGGCTGTGAAGGCTCCGGAGGCACGGACACCAGGAGGCTGTTAATCCGGGCCTCAGTGGGAGCCACCAGCCACACCCACCGAGTCCAGCTTGTCACTGAGAACGCGACTGTTCCTTTGTGACTTAAAGGGTGTAACCAGGGGAAGAAAATGCAATATTCTCAGGAGAAGAGAATGTTACAAGCAAAAGTGCTGAATCAAGAAAGGAACTTGGTTAAATGTACCCATGAGTGTCGCCTATGAGGGATCCCGGGTGGGATTCTGGAACAGAAAAAGGACATTAGTGGAAAAACTGGTGACATAATAGTGATGTGTCAATGTTGGTTTCTTCTTCTGACAACTGAACCCCGGTCATGTGAGTGTTAACAGTGGGGGACGTTGGGTGAGGGCTATGGGAATTCCCTATTCTCTGTGCACCTTTTCTGTAAATCTAAAACAATTCCAAAATTAAAAAAATTCCTTTAAGAAAAGGAATTTGGGGACCGGCCCTGTGGCATAGTGGTTAAGTTTGCATGCTCTGCCCCAGCAGCCTGGGGTTTGCGGGTTTAGATCCCGGGCAGGGACTTATACACTGCTCATCAAGCTGTACTGTGGCGGTGTCCCACACACAAAATAGAAGATTGGCACAGATGTTAGCCCACGGCCAATCTTACTCACCAAAAAACACAAAAAAGGAACTTGGCACACAGGAAGAATGAAAGGAACTCCATCATAGCTGGAGGAAGGGGCAGGCTGAGATGTGGCAGGAAGCAACCCTACTGGGCCCTGTTGGCCAAGATGAGGATTCTGGTCTTTGACTTAAGAGCAGAGAGAAGCTTTAGACGGGCTTTATGTAGGGAAGTACCATTAGCCATTTGAGTTTGAAAAGGTCTGGGTTCTACCCTGCAGAACGGATCAGGAGGGAGATGGGCAGGGGCAGAAAAACCACTGGACTCTCCGCCTCCATCTTCCAGGTGAGCAAAGGTGGAGGCCGTGGAGACGGAGGGAAGTACGCAGTTCGGGATATATTTACGACTCAGTCACTGACTGTATTTGGAGAGTATGGAAATGGGAGACATCAAGGATGGTGACCAGGAGGGTGATTGGACCAATGGTGAAGGGCAGGACTGTCTGGGGAGAGGGGGGACCCAGCAGGAGGACATCTGAGGCTGGAGATAAAGTCCTGAGTGGGAAGCTGGCTTCTTCGTAAAGCACCAATCCAGGTGTGCCCAAGCTGTCTTCTGTACCACCTGTGTTGTGTCACCTGCAGGTGTCACCTGAACATATTGCTTATGTTACTGTCACCTGAGCATGTCATCAGGGTAGCAATTGCCTAAACATGTCACCTGTGTCGCTATCACATAAACACATCTTCTGCGTGCATCACCTGTGTAGCAATTACCTGTACGTTTCCACCTGTGTCAGCCATTATTATCTGATTACATCACCTGGGCAGCTGCCGGCTACTCAGGTCCCCTGAGCCTGTTTCTTTATGGAGCTGTCACCTGAACGTGTCACCTGCACACCTGTCACCGACGCAAGTCACTTAAGCAGGTCGCCTCTATAACTGACACGTATGAGTGCCACCTAAACATGTCACTCCAGGTTCTGTCACTCAGCAACAGTGCCCGGTGGAGAGGCTATTTTTCAGTCTAGCTGCGTTACAAAGGAAGTAGTTGCCAGAGGAGACGGTTCCTGCGGTTTCCACTGTCGCCGCTCCCTCTGAGACCGGGGTGGGGAGGGAGGCAGCCTCGTCCTCACGAAGTCTCCTGATGAAAAGCTCCCTGTTCCTCAAGTCCTTGTGTGACAGTCGGCAGACCAGATGTCAACCTCTGTGTGTTCTATGCAAATGAAGGTGTTTGTTTGTGCTAATGAGGGCTGGGTTGTGGGAGGGGGGAGCCTTAGATGGGCTGGCTCCGGAGACGACAGCCCCACAGCAGTGGAAAGAGAAGCTGAGAGCCCATGTGTGTGGGGGGCGAGGGGAGAGAGTGGGGGACAGTGAGTCATAAGGAAAAAGGAGCTTGAAGACAAAGATGGGGGGACAGCTGAGACGAGAGAGGAAAGGAGTGAATCTGAGGTTAGATTGCTCAGCAGAAACAGATGGGAGAGAGAGGCTCAGCTGAGCAGAGTGGAAATGTGTCCCCAAGGGGGTGGGAAGGAAGAACTGGATTAAAGGAAACCCCCCCTCTCGGGGTGGCAGGGCTGGGACGCACACCCAGAGCCTGTGCCCCAACCACCGCCCTCTCTTCCTCCCATCGGGGTCTCTCTGATAGGACTGTTGGGCGGGGAGGGCACCATGCCTGGCATTCACTACGAGTTCCGAGAATTTGAACCTCTTCCCCAGGTTTTCTGCTGTGGCATGAGAACCTCTAAGACCCAAACACGGAGACCCCACTTCCTCCAAGCTGCGGCCAGAATAGGCTCCCTTTGGCCTCGTGGTCAGGCCCAGAGAAGGTGGGAACTTGCTGGAGGACGCACAGGTTTCCTTGACGCAGCATCAGTGCAGCCTCCGTAACTCCAGGTTGAGGCTCTTCCCTTTCAGCGTCCAGATCCCCCTGCCAGGCGCCCCCTCGCCCGCAGGGCTTCACAGGGCAAAGGAGCAAGAGCTGATAGTCGCTCGTCCCTGCTGACAGCGGCCTTGCCGTGACATCCTCACCTTTAGTCCTTGCTGCAGTCCTGTGAGGCTTCAGCCCCGTATTTCAGATGAGAAGATGGAGGCTCAGAGAGAGACGGCCTGACTGGCACAAGGTCACCTAGCGCACTGTTGGCGGGGCAGGATTCGCACTCGGCTCTCCCCGACCCCGTATCAGGGCTCCTTTAGTACGGGAGGCAGGAAAGAGCTGCCCGGTGGGCGTTTTCCATAGAGAGAGAGAACAAAGCACCGACTCACTTGTCAGCATGGCCTGACCCTGTGGAAGGATCTAACATGGGGATCATCAAACTACAGCCTGCGGAGCAAATCCAGCCTGTTTTTTAGCAGCCTGTAAACTAAGAATGTTTTTCAGACTTTTAAGTGGTTGAGAAAAAAAAAAAAACAGAAGAAGAAGAAGAAGAAGATGTCATGGCATATGAAAATATATGAAATTCAACTTTCAATGATTATAAATGAAGTTTCATTGGAACACGGCCACACTGATTTGCTCACGCACTGTCTGTGGCTGCTTTTGTGTCACAAGGACAGAGTTGAGTGGTTGTGACGGAGATGTAAGAGCAACAAACTTTAAAATATTTACTCTCTGGCCTTTTAGAGGAAACATCCAGAAAGTTTGGGGGCGTCTCTCCCATCCTCATGGGTCGCCTCCTCCGAGAGGCCCTCCTGACTACCTTGGCAGAACCAGCTGTTCCTCACTCTGTGCTCGGGTCAGCTCACCCTTTTCCTGGTGATTTACGTGCTGGTTAGCTTCTCTGCCTCCTTGTCCAATGGGAGGGGCTCCTTGGAGACAGGAATTTCACTGTGTTCCTTCTCAAGTCCCCAGGGCTGGGCGTAGAGTGACAGAAGGCTGTGTGGAAAGGGGAATTCTAGTTCCCATCCTGGTTCTTATTAGCCATATTGCAGGAGGTAGTTACATCCGCCTCTGGAGCCTCAGTCTCCAGGTTTCTGAAATGGGAGTCACGATCCTCTCCTACGTGGAGGGCGGCCCAGAGGAGTGAGTGGGGTGATGCCTGGGGTACCGGTTTTGAGCCTGCCCATCCTCCAGGTGCCTCTTAATCCCGTCATCCTCAGGGCCCCCTGAGCGTGGACACCACCACCATTCCCAGTTCATCGAAGCAGCAAGGAGCACAGATTTAACTCCAGCTGAATACACAGCCCACACCTTCACCTTCTGAAGCGCCAAGCACAGGGCCTGGCAGACAGTCGGTGTTCCGTAAATGTTGCTTCTCCTCCCAGCACAGCACATGGGCCTGTGGTCAGTCAAGGGACGTTTGTTGAGCGAAGGCTGAGCGGGGGGGCTTTGGGGCTGGTTTTCTGAAAGCTGTGCCTTGTGGTCCCGGAGGACGGGCCCTCACCCTGCTCCTCTGCCTCCCCGCAGGTTGCCCGAGGTCCGCGTCTCGGACAACGGTCCCTACGAGTGCCACGTGGGCATCTACGACCGCGCCACGAGGGAGAAGGTGGTCCTGGCCTCAGGCAACATCTTCCTCAACGTCATGGGTGAGTGCAGGGCCCTGGCCCCGGCGTTGCAGTGAGGAGCCGTGTGTGTGCATGCGTGCATGGGTGCACGCTGTACAGAGGGGCTGTCCGGGGAAGCACCTGCCGAAAGCCTGTTGTGCTGGCAGCGGACGCCCTTCTTTCCCACCCTTGCTCTCGAGGGGCAGGAGGCCGGCCATGCCAACATGTGACCAATGTGTGACCGGTGTGTCCTTGCCGCCCAAGGATTTGCTCTTAGGAGCTCTTCTCCACCCAGCACTGATGCTCTGCCCTCCTGAAGGTGGGGCCGTGCCTCATCCCCGGATGCTGGTGGCCGGGGCATTTGGAGGGGCCCCGACACGTTGTTTGGGACAAATGAGGACCTGAAGGAACGCTGAGAGCTTCCTGAGGGCCTGCTGTCACAGTCCCTGGGCCTCAGTTTCCACTTCTGTAAGATGGGCGTGGGATGCAGGCCCGGTGGGTCCTTCATGGACCACCCAGCTCCAGGCTCTGTGGCCTGGTGGGGACATGGGGCGGGAGGTCCTGGGCCCTGTGGGAGCAGCGGTGTGGGCACCTTCCGCAGGCTGAAGCCAAGAGCCACGTTCGTGGAAATACCCGTGGGGAAAGTGCAGTGGGGGTGGGCGCTCCCCTGGGGGAAGGACAGCCCTGGAGCCTACCTGGGGGGCCTGAGATGCATCTCGGGGGGAGGCACACCTGCTGCAGAGGGAATGATTCTGACCGGGCCACGTGTGCCCTCCCTGGACCTCCCAGGCCTTTTCCACAACACTGAAGCAGTGGGTGACGAGTCAGGAAGTGCGCTGGGCTGAGTGTCGCGGCTCCCAGGTTCCGACCCCGGGTCTGTGCCTCCATTTCTAAGTCTGCAAAATGGAGGTAATGATGCTGATATCCGTCTCTGGCTGGCTGCGTCTCCCAGCCCAGCCTCGTTTCCCCCATTTGTAAAAAGAAGGCCCTTGCTCCGCGCGATCTGGGAAGCCCCGGCCAGCACTGAGTTCCTGCCAGGTGCGCTCTTGCATTCTGCTGTCAGAATTCCGGGGCTTGGGTCAACTCTGGGCCCCATGTTCTCTGATTTTCTCACCAAATGAGATTGACCGGGGAACTAAAGTCTCCCGTCCTCGGCAATCAATGAAAGCAGAAAGGCCGCGTCCAAAGCCATGGCTTCTGGGGAAATTGAAGACCTCCAAAGACCAGACCCCCAGAGGGACATTGATTCCCGCAGGGGCAGCACGCGGCATGTTCTGCTTCCTGGGGGACGGGCCACGCAGGGGGTGGCGGTCCCTGGAAGCGCCCCCCTTGCAGTCACGCCCTCCCTGAGCGGCTCCTGCAATACACGGACAAGCAGCATTCCCAGTGCCCGGCCCCGGGCCCCTCACACCAGGGGACCCAGCGAAGAACAAAACTCAGTTTGTACCCTCAGGGGCTCCCAGTCTGATGAGGGACATGTACGCATTCATTTATTCAACAGGTGCTTATGGCGCACCTACTATGTGCACGTAGGTGCCACCTATGCCAGGTGATGGCCACACACCTTCCATAGGACGTTTTTGTCCTTGGGGAGTTTGCACCCAGTGCATGGAACAAGCGTAAAACACACACGGGGTGAATAAGTGAGATGAGTGCATAGTGATAAATACAGGGAAACAAATCAAGCAGGGTAATGAGATTAAGAGTGACGGAGGTGGGGTGGCAGCTAGTTTAGGGAGAGGACTCAGGGAGGGCCCCTCGGAGGCTGCCGGGCTGAGCGCTGTCCTTGTTATGTCCTTTAGTCCTCACAGTCAACCCAAGAGCAGGTACCAGTACTGCTGTCCCCATTTTGCAGGAGCAGATATGGAAGCACAGAGAAAGCAAGCAACTTGCCTAAGGTCACACAGTCGGGATCACAAAATCTTCCTATGATATCAGGCAGCTCAGTCTTGGGGCCAGAACCCAGGCGTCTTAACTCCCTGATCAGCTCTGTTGTACTGCTGGAGGCAGTGTAGACACTCCAGCTGAGGCTTCGTTCTATTGTGCCTGTGAGCAAGGACGTGGTCCTCAAAAGCCACCTCCTCCATGAGGCCCACGATCCTCATTAAATCACCAAAGGTCCCTGAGCATGTTACTCTCCCTCTGTGGCCTCAGTTTCCTCGTTCATACAATGAGGAGGTGTCACCAGATAATCCTTAGTTTTCTCCCAGCTCTGACATTTGTGAGTCTGTTACCTCACCTGCTAGGCAAGGAAACTGAGGCACAGAGAGGTCTCATGGGAGCCGCCTGGGTTGCATAGCCGGCCCGTGGTCCCAGCTGAGCATGGCGGCGTACTTCTGGCAGGCACGGCTCCTCTCTGCCCGTGGCACGGCCAGCCGAGACCTCTCTCCTTCTGTCTCACCGTCTGGGGAGCGGAGGTTTGTGAGCCCCTGGGCTCCTCCCGATGGAAAGAGGCAGGCACTGGGGGATGGGCTGACAGCTGATTGATCCCAGTCAGTGGGCAGGAGGCTGAGGCTGCCAGGAGGGACCAGGGAGGGGCAGGGCCAGGGCCAAGAGTGTAACCCCCGCCCTCCTCCCGGGGCCCCAGACACAGGACGGCTCTGACTTGTGGAAATTCAGCCCATCCCTGGGCAGAGTTCTCACTGAAACAGCACCCACCCATCTCAGTCAGTCCTCTGACTGACCCTGCTGCTCAGAGGTCGTTGTATTTGCCATTGGTGTCCTCAGCCCTGCTGTCCCCTGATGGGGCCAGTGCGCGCGTGCTCACTAAGCTGATGCCGCAGCTACTGTCCCTCCCTGGCCTGTGCCCGACAGTGCGTGAGCTTCTGGCCTCACGCACATTATCCTATGGAATCCTGGCGACAGCCCTGTGAGCTGGGAGATGTTATAATCCCCACTATACCAGGAGACCGAGGCTCAGGGAGGAGAAGTGACTTGTCTGGGGTCATAACAGCCATCTGAGGCCAAAGTCTGTGGTCTAAACCAGCGGTTCTCAAACCTGAGCTGCATCAGAATCCCCCGGAGGGCCGGTGAAGGTGCAGACTGCTGGGCCCACCTCCGCAGCTCCTGACCCAGCAGATCTGGGCCAGGCCTGGGCATCTGCATTGCTCCCAAGTTCCCAGTGATGCTGGTGCTGCAGGCGCCGGGACCACCCTTCGAGGACACTAGTCTAAACCTCTGAGTATTCAAAAAATGCTCATTCTGTATATACCTATATCGATTCATCTATGTATCTACATCTGCGTCTAGACTCTTGTCCATGTGCAAATGTATGCTCCTTCCTCCTTCCAATACCCACCTCCCCCTACCCCAGACCCAGGAGAATGCCCCCCTTCTTCAGCATACAAATTAAGGCCAGACACGGTTAGGTGCGAATCCCAGATCCATCACGGTGTCCGTAGGCCGCCCTGGGCCTCAGTTTCCCCATCTGTAAAACAGGGATAAGGAGACCTACTTCCTGGGGTGGCTGTGAAGTTTAAATTAGATAAATTTTGCTCAAGACCGAGCCCAGCATGAGGCAGCCAAAAGGTTCAGGAGGTCAGACTCTGTTGTCTTTATTCCCTGTCCCCAGCTGCCCGCCCTTGGGCACAGCTGTGGCGGCCTCTTTCTTGCCTCTGGTTTCAGCCCCGGCAGGGAGAAGCCACGTCCATGATTCGTGACTCTGAGGAGCTTTAAGCCAGTCTGAGCAATGAGTGTCACAGCTTCACGCGCCGAATCCGTGGAAGGGGGCCCAGTTCTGCCCCGTTCCTGGAGCGGTGAGGCCCCCGGCCTCTGCCTTCCTGCCCTCCTGGCCTCCACCCTGAGCGTCAGCCTGTCCTGGCCCCACATGCCCCAGGGGAGGAGCCAGGATATGTCCCAACTTTGCTATGCCTCACGCTTAGCCGGTTTGTGCCGGTTCCAATGTGCCTCCCATTGAACATGTCACCTGATCCTCGCCACAGCCGTTGGGGCCAGGATTACTATTATTCCTAATTCACAGATGAAGAGAGGACGCTCCAAGAAGGGAAAAGATTTGCTCTGGGACCCCTGGGAGTGTGGCTGGCCCTGTCCCAGAGCAACACGGCTTCTGGGCTCACCACGGTCGGGAATGGTGGGGAGGGCTGCGAGAGACAGCGGGCTGAGTGCCAGGAAGCTTCTGGCTCTCTCCCACAGTCCAGCGGCCGCAGCAGCCCGAGCGGCAGGCACGATGCTGTGCCCATAGCGTAGGCCCAGGCTCCGAGAAGGAAGCGACCCGGCCAGGGTGGGGTGGATTAAACGAGATGATCGGTAGAACAGAACGCTCTGAGCCCAGGGTCTGGCTCATTCCGAGTTCTCAATAAAGGGTTTCTCTTACGACAAACAGTAATCACGTCAGTCAAACATCAGGCACAAGCAGAAAGGCTTAAAAATGGTCTTACTCCCTTCCCACCTCCATGACCATCTCCTTTAAATATGTTTCAAGGCAAGTTTCAAAAATGGCAATCTCCTCACTGTTTTGGCCTCTCTGTGACACTGCGTAGACCCCTTCTCATGATGCACACACAGGCAAGGACCCACCCTCGGAGCCAGTGGACCCTAAGGACTGTGACAGCCAACGGTGGGGCAAGACAGCCCCGTCCCCAATTTGGGGGTCAAAGGGAAGCTTCCCAGGACAGTGGGAGGGGGGAGCCGAGGCGCTGGGTACAGCCCAGGGCCCCTGTGTCAAAAGCACGGAGCAGTTCTGCGGGAGCCGGCCCCGGTCTGCCAGCACCGCGCCTGCATCCAGCGCATTCTAACGCGCTGTTGCCAGAGCCCTCCGGGTGGAGATCAAAATTCGAGAGCGGCTGTAATTTCACGCCTATAACGTCCCCGCAATGTGGTGGGGAAAGGCATTCCGGAGCCCCGTGGGTGACACCAAGGGTTCATGCCGCACAGTCATTAAAATGTTTTTATCCGAGCTGCAGATAAATTGTAAGCCAATTTGAAAGCCGCGTGCCGGGCCCGGGAAGGCATTATCCACAGTCACGGAAGGACAGCAGGGTCTCATCTTGGGGGGGCAGGTTATGTGGAGGAGCGTGTTAAGT